ATGCTTCTGGGGGTGTGACACCGGGCAGTGCAGCAAAAGCAAAGCCAGTCAAACGGGCTTTCATTGAGAAGTATGGTGTGGCCCCGGTTGTGATGGTTGCTACAGTGTCAAGAAGGGCAAGATGATTCAGCAGAGTCAGCAGAATGCAGAGAGTTCATCGGCCTCGAGGCCACATGGGCCTCCTGCTGCCGAAGTGAGGCCGGATTCTCCAAAGCGACCAGCAGAAGTTGACATTGAGACGTAGGTTGAACAGACAATGGGAGAGGAATCAGCGACCGCATCAGCGCCGGCAGAGCGCCAGCAGAAGCAACCGTGAGTTTGGAATTAGGCAGTTTGGAATTTGACATTGACCACAGTTACAAAGCAATTCAGAAACAGATTTTAGAAGATGTGATCGAACAACAGTTTGTGAAAGAAGGGGTTGACTACAATAAGTCGGAAGTGCAGAAGATCGCAACGTTGTCAGCTTCCATGTGTTCAGTTGACATTATGGAGATTTTCTCCCCAACACGGCGCTTGCAGCTTACTACGGGTTGCTAGATCTCAGCGAGATGAAGCCCGATGGGAGTGACGTGTGGAACTTGGACAGAAAGAAAGATCGTTTGGAGTTGGAAGCAATCATTGAAAATGAACCGTGGCTCGTCACAAAAAGCCCTCCATGCGGTCCATTCTCACCACTCCGCAGTTTGACAAACCACGAGAGATCCAACAGTTGTTGAGGAAGAGGTTCGTGTTGGAAAGGAGAGATTGAGGACTGCAGTGAAGATGTACAAGAAACAATATGACGCTGGATGATATTTTCTCCATGAACGTCCTGAGCCGTCGTCTGCTTGGGACATGCCAGAGTTGAAAGCATTGGAGGAGCTTCCTGGTAGTCTTTCGAGTTTGTTCGACAATGTGCAGTTGGAAGATGGTCTTGAAAGGTCGAGAACAAGAAGTCTATGTGCGCAAACCAACAGTTTGGCTGTGGCAAAAATGTTGAACCAGGTTTGTGGAGAGACAACACCATGCGTGCGCCGACATGTTCGGCTCATTGGAGGTGTTGCCAAGCAGGCGCAGGTGTACCCAGAGGCGATGATCAGTGACCTCTGTATAGGTCACGGTGGGTGGCAAGAGAGATCAAGAAGCGCAAGCAGCCAGGGGAACAACTATCGGAGGTCGAGTTGCTTGCAGCTACTCCACCAGTTGAAATTTCTATTTGCTTTGTTCAATGTTGTTGACGCAGTTCAAAGGCCGTGCAAAAGATCTAAAACTTGGTTCTTGGGATGTGAGCAGAGCTCATTTCATGGGCGTTGTTGAGCGTGATTTGTACATTGATCTGCCTCCTGAGGACTTGCATCATGACACAGCTACAGAACCAATGTGCGGCAAGTTGAACAGGAGCATGTATGGGACACAGGATGCTTCAAGAAATTTTCAGAAAGATTGGAATCAAGTTTTGGCAAATCATGATTTTGAGATTGGAGCACTTCGTCCTGCAACGGTCAAGCACAAGAGCAGAAACATGTGGGGCATGGTACACGGCGACGATTTCTTGGTTCTGGCAAATGACACAGGTTTACGATTCATGGATGAAGTGTTGAGATCAAAATGCAAAGTTCGTTGGGAAGCAACATTGGGGCAAGATCCAAAAGATGACAAACAGATGTTTTTCCTGAACAGGTTGGTGCAGCTTGTGAAAAGAGAGGACGGTGAATTTCAGATGGAGGTTGAAGCTGATGCAAGGCATTCCGAGTTGATCGTGCGGCAACTCAATTTGCTTGGCTCGAAGGGATCTGAAATCCCTGAGGTGAGGATCAATGACAATGAATTTGAACATTTACAAAAGCAATCGCTAAGCCCAGAAGAGGTGAAATTGTTCAGATCGTTGACAATGAGGACGGCCTATCTCTCTCAGGACCGTCCGGACTTGGCAAACACAGCAAAGAATTTAGCGCGTGGGATGTCGCAGCCCAAGCAGTTTCACCTTGACAAGTTGACAAGTTCAGTTCATTGGCTTTACGGACAGTGACTGGGCGTTTGATTTGGAACTAGACGGTCGACGACAGGTGTTGCAGTGATGGCTGGACAGCATCTTTTGTTGGCAAAGAGCCATTTGCAAAGTGTTGCTTCCTTGAGCTCAGCTGAAGCAGAGTACTATGGGATTTGCAAGGGTGCAGTGTCGTGTTTGTTTTTGAAGCATTTGTTGGATGAGTGGAAAGTTCCATGTGCATTGACAATGAAGTGTGATTCGACGGCAGCGAGAGCAATAGCGTGTCGTGTTGGAGTTGGCAAGACAAAGCATGTGCAGGCAAGATTTTTGCGGTTGCAATAACACACTAGAGATGGTGCGTTGGTGGTCGAGAAAATTGATGGCGCGAAGAATGGTGCTGATTTGACGACGAAAGTGTTGAGCAGACAGGTGATTGAGAGACACTTGAGACGGTTGAACTTGCCAGATTCGCAACGAGGAATTTGAAGCACAAGGAGCTCTTGGCGTCAGGTTGAAATAGTCCCGGCCAGGCTCCGCTACGTTCCTTTCATCCATACCTGGACTCAAGGTCGGGGGACGTGGAACCATAGCATGTTACCAATAGCTCACGTAGGCCCAAAGGAAAAAGGTGCGGTCGCGAGCGTATTGGGCCAACAAACCACACGTGCAGAGACCATAGTTTTTGGTGTCCAGCCCGCCGCCTAGACCGATTTCACCGCGGCCTGCCGACGCCTGCCGCTCATTGTGCTGGCCAAGCTGCTGTTGGTGTGCCTGGACCGTTTTGCTTGCCACGTGAAAGATACAGAGACCGGGAGCCTCTCCTCTACTTGCTTTCTGCAAGAATTGCTGATTCATCAGCATTTTTGACCAAATTAGGTGGAGATCCTATTTCGTAGTTGTGTTGTTTTTTGCTGCAAGCTTTGTTGGGCACTGTTTCAGAGGTGGCCCTGGCACACTACCCAACACCAACACCACGATTTGTGTTGAAGCACTGAGGTATCTTCAGTCGACGGATGATGCCATCGAGCTGGGCAAGTTCCTTCACATGCTTTCGGAGACTGTGCCGGAGAGCATCCAACATGGGTACAAACCATGGTTCGACCTGGTCCATTGTTTTGTAACAATACTTCTGTCAGTGTTTATGGCCTTCATGGTTCCCATGCTGAAGGGGGAAGGGCCATCACTTGATTCCCTTCAGCCTCTCATTTGGATTCTTGTTCCCTTGCACTGGACCTTTGCAGTGGGGTTTTGGATGCGGCAGCCATCCTTCGACTATTTTGCCATACGCGCGCGGGATGCCGATATTGAAAAGAACGGTGCTATGATTGACCTCCTTTACTGCAGACAGTGGTTGCGGGCGTATGATAGTGCCTACCCTGTGCAGCACGTGAGAAGGGCTTTTGACGAAGCATGCTCATACTTTTGCCAGCACAGGTCAGACTTGCTAGCTTACAAGTCTGACACGCAATGGGTTGCAAGATACTTTGGCGAGCTGACCAAGGTTTTCGGCATACTGTTTGGAGGCTATGCTGCCTTGCAGCACATTCACTACGGTGAAGGGCAGATGACTCTTGGTCGATTCACAGTGTTTCTGAGCTTATACAGCATCATCATCGACGTGATTTATATGTTCATAGACTCATGGGATGGACTTCTCTATGCTGGAGTCGTGATTGAGGAGTTGTGCCAATTTGCGAACACCTCCAATAGGCTTTTGTCACTGTCCCAGCCGGTGGATTTGATGAAGCATCCCGTAATAACAGGGAACTTTGTGATGAAGCTCTCTTCGGTCGATTTCTATTTGGAGGGCGCGGTCTCCACCCCATCCCCATCTTCCAAGACGTTTACACTGGGCGTGCCATTGGGCCATTGTTATGGCCTTCGCACTTACAGCGATGCCTCATCCCTGCGCCGACGCCTTTGCGAAGTCCTTGGAGGGATGCGTTCTTCCAGCATCGTCAGCGAACTGGGCTGTGCGAAGGCCTTGCTTCTCAAGGCGACGAAACATGTTTTCGTTTGTGTTATTTGTGAAGCAACTTCTTTCATAGCGTGCATATACTTCCTACATGCTAGTTGCCACCAACCTGCTGAAGGCTCCTGTGAGCCTCGCCACTGGAACGGTGTTGGAAAACTTACTCTCGAATGCTGCTGCTTGGGTGCGCGCGAGCGATGTGGTAGCTTTGCTGGCAGTGCTTGGGATCCCCATTCCTGCACCTGCGGGGGTCAAAGTAAAGCATCCTTCCAATCCTGGTGATTTGCTTCATTCCTTGCTCCGCGCGTCAAAATGGAAGCAATCCCTTCAAGCCTCGGCCAGGCACTTGGATTTGCATGTGGAGCGCTTCAGAGAACGCTGCTTCACCTCTGACTTCTCAGTTCTTTCACCCATCAGTTCAGCAGAGGAACTGCTGCAGCCAGCTGAAAAGCATTTGTTTGATTTGGCCAGGGGCTTGCTGGCGGACCCAGAAATTCTTATTGTTCATGACATGCTTAATGTGATGCCCCTTCCCTTGGCGGAGAACGCGCTTGAGGTCTTACTGCTCTGGCAAAATCTGGGCGGGTTCAAAGGACTTGTGATGGCCTTTGAAGGAGGGTTCCGTTCAGTCGACGGGTACCCTGCTTGGATCACTGCGGGTGGCATCTCCAGGAGCCTTTTCATCTCCGAGTCGACCATCGTTTGCGCGGGGCTTCGGATGACGAGTTACATAGCCTCCTGGCTCGTCATCCAGCCGGGAGGCGTCTTGGAACTGGAAAGCGCCGAGGAGGTCGCTGAAGTGCCCATCGGCCATGGAGACCGTGTTGGCGGCTTGAGCTTAGCAGGCTTGGCACGAATGAAGGGCCTTGCGAGGCAGAAGAGCTGGTCAGGGGATCAGGGCTAGATGTGGCAAAAAGACGCCGCCAGCTGCAAACTGTTGCAATGAAGTGACGTGGTAGTTAGACAAATCCACAACTTCTCTCGTCAACGTTCGTTTGGTGGACTGCGCAATGAAAATGGGTTCCTTTTGTTGTCTATCAATCATCGTCGGCTAAGGTGGAAGCTGCGACCTCGCCATTGTCGACGGGCTCTCCCCACAACCGTTCATCACCTCAGCTGTGGCCAGGCAGCAGTGTGGCAGCAGCAAAGAGATTTTGTGAACTATTGCACGATGACCGGCCACCCAAAGAAATGACGAACATTTTGATGCCCTGGCTGTTCTTCTTGTTCGGAGTATGGCAACGTACTCTTCATGACATCTGTGCCAAGTCAAACCTGTGAGTCTCTCAAATCACTTCTTAATCCTGAGGTTCACAGATGATTTCCCTCAGATTGCTTCGCTTCCTTTTTCCAGGTTTGAGTCCCCTTTAAATTGATTCCTCATGATTGTTTTTTGGATTTTACATGTCCTTTAGGCTTCCAATGCTGCCTTCCAAAAATGATTTCTTTCTGAATACAAAAATAGAGCTCCATCAGCAAGAGCGCGTTGACACTATTATTGTAAGAGGTGGTATAGACGTTATTGAATATTGTAAGTTGTAAGAGATGTGTTGCCAAGGATTTCTCGTTTACTGGATTCCTGCCTTTTTGCAGTCTATTTTCGGGTAGATTTCGCTTGCTATTTAGCAATTACTTAGCAGGCGTAGGACTTCCATATAATTTGCAGATAAATTTGCCGCATCTATCATGCAAGTAGGGAAGATCTGAGATGGACCGCTTTTGTAAAACGATGCAAAACGTGATTTTTGTGGGGAATGCGCGTGCCAGATGCTCAAACGTGAGGGCTTTGTAGGCTGGTCCATGTCAGGTGCTCAAACCCGATGTTTTTGCAGCAGAACCGCTGCGTATTGCCATTTTGAACGTCTATTCTGGAGGAAGTCTCGCAGAATCGCTGCGCTTTCACATCTTCAACTTTCATTTTTGACGGAAGTCTCCTGATTTCGACAATTTGAAGAAGTCTTGAATTGGAAACTTTCAGATGTCAAACTTTGAGGAAATGTCTCGCACGAAATGCACCGAACTGGCAACTTTGCATTGTACGGTGCAGCAAATGTAGTCGTGTCGCTGGTGAGCTGCGCGGTGGGTGGTGTCAATCACGCGTGTCATTCACACATGTATGCATGCATGCTTGCATACTTACACCCATACACGAAAAACATCACACTATATATATATATATAAGTGGAACATGACAATCATACCTCCATATCCATCGCAACATATTGTCACTTTCAAACCCAAGCCCGTGGACACTAAGTCTTTTTTTGTGTGGTGTGTATCAGGCGGGGTAGTGGGTAACTGGTAGAAAATCTCACACAATCCGACGAACACGAGAGAGAACAGTGCGGAACCACTGCGACCCAATGTATGCACTATTTGTCCACATTACGGCTATGGTATGAATAGCAGCGGTGGCCTTGCGGCCTTCCAAGATCATGATGTCAGTGATTTCATGATCACTCTCAGGGTGACGGCCACCGGCATGGAAGATTTACCTGACTTGACAGATCGCACCCTGACTGCATCGGGAATTCATTCATTGCCCCATGGAACCGTTGCACTTGGCCCTTTTGGGCTGGCCCAGGCATCATGTCAATGGGTCTTTACGAGGAGTACCAGCTGCTTTGGCGGGTGTTGTTGCAGTCGGAAGAGGGCTGCTGGATGAGGATTAGGTGAGGCGGTGGCGTTTGGTTCCGCAAACACTTACAGACCCACCCACACCGTGTTTTATGGAGGCATGAGGGTTGTAACACGGATTGCGTCGCTCTGAATCTGAGGAAGTTCCGTGAAGGAAATCTAATTTGGCGTGGTGGCGGGCACCATGGCGCGCGTGGAGAGCCCACTGCACAGGCCTTGGATCGCTCACCGGAGCGACAGCAAAGGCGGGAATTGTGGGGATGGCATGATCGGATGTAGACGTGGATGAGGTTAGGCATTTGACCCGAGAGCAAGGATTATTTTGTTGTGTCTGCAGCTGAACAACTTTGTTGGCAGGAGTTTCTTGAACACCTTCTATCCCTCTTTTGACACGTGGCACTGGCGGCGGACGGCCTCATACTGGAGCCTTATCCCCCAACCGGCAACAAAACACGGTGAGTTAGTGCAGTTGAGGTGAGATAAAACCTTTTCTCATGCGACAGCTCCATCCATTCACGCAGGTGGAATATTCCCAAACTTCCTGCCATGGAAGAAGGCCCAGTCTTCCTGTACTGAGGATTGCCATCTCCTTCTTGGAAGGCTCCCTCCTGTTTCTTTTTGGGAGCTGCTTTGGGTTTGCGGCAGACAGTTGCTTGACAGAAGGGGTAGCCATGGGGGGTGGAGTGGTGTAGATTGTAGAAACGCAGGTTCTGGTAAGGATAGTGATATGTAAACAATAGCAAATGCAAAATAGCTTCTGAAAACAATAGACAGACACACCAAGAAAAAAAACATAAATTTAGACCAACAAGTGTCCAAAAACAAAAAAACATAAAAAAAACAAAAACAAAAAGTTCAGACCTATGTCTCCTGTCCAGCCTCTCCTGGGTCCC